TCTGGAATCAGTGCGATCGAGGATGCAAATTAGGTGGATCTATTCGACCGATGCAACGGCGCGTGGAATCGCTACTTGATTATGCTCTTATTTCTACCTCTTTCCTTTCAATCCTCCCAGGCGACATAATTACACGGCTAATTGCAGCCGGACCAATTAGACCTAGGATTAGATATGGGAGAAATGAAAATGCGGAAAACATAGTCAGAGAGATAAGAACCCTCTTAGGGGGAGATGGACCTGCGCGGTGCAACTGGTGCAACGGGTGCGTTGCATAACTCCCTTTTAATCTCACCGCGGCAATTAGCAGGTGACATTACCCGAGTACTCGTAACGTTACTCGCCCGCTATTTCCACTCAGTGAATTTTCACCCTTTAAGTTGGATCATTCATTTCCACGCGGCGTTGAAATTCTGCAGCGCGCCGAAAATGCACTTATAGGTTATGCAGGTAAATCCTATTCGGGGAACTTTTTTCCCCCGTACATTTATTAGCGAAAATACCGTGTCCTAGTTTCGGAAAGCGAAGGTCTAAGAGCAAAACCGACGCTCGGCGGGGAATATTATATAATAACCGCCAGGCTCGAAACTTCGGAGGTAAAAATGCACGTATGGCGCGAAAAAGATCGTAAAAATTGGCAAGACTCTTTGGCACTTACGAGGCGTAAACGATCGGAGAGGAAATCGCTCTTTGTAGCGCAGGTCTTGCCTTGAGTGTAATTCCTCGCAAAAACGAGGGAAATTCTTCGGTTGGCCGGAAAAGTGACTTGGATTTTACACCTCGGCATTTTTACACGGTTTTCACGTATATAAGTATTCAGAGCCCGAGTAATTTGCACGTGGCCAGTTTGCCTGGAGTCGACTTATCTCAATATACATACATATATATGTATATTGGTCGGCAAATTATTTTTGTTTTGCTTGGAAAATAAGAAAAAAAATTTATTTTTTTTTTTTAGAAAATTGCGGCCAAATTTGCGACTTTCGATATTTTCATTGTGGTATTTTGACCCTCGGTAGGCGAATTTCGACAATGCTCGGTAGATCCTCCCTTCCCGGGTGCCTTTCGGAATTTCGCATTTCGTAGGCCCGCCTAAGCATAAATCCCGGAGGGCTAATTAAACCTAAGGGCTATCGCAAGGATTAATCGATCGCTTCCTCGTGAAACGAGCTCCGGCAAATGCCGTCTCCTCTCTTCTCTTCCCTCTCCCTCTCGGGCCGCGCGAGAAAAGAAACCGGGCGAAAGAGGGGAGCGACCGAGAGGGCGGGAGGGAACGGAGAGGGCACGAGTCCGGGAAGAAGAGGAAGAGAAAAGGACGAAAAGAAGGAAGAAAAAAAAAGCAAGAAATAGAAACCCGCGAAAAATGGAAGAAGACGAGGAGAATCGAAGTGAGCCCTCGGACCGGTCGGACGTCTCCTCGGATCGCTGCTTTTCCGCAGGCGCTGGAAAATTCCGCAGTCCCCTGGAACGTCATCCTCTCGCCCCTCTCCGTCGAATCCGCAATTCCAAAAAATCACCCTCTGCGTGTCCCCCACCCCCGGGAATAAAATAGAATTTAGCGGTAAGAAAAATCAGGGCATTTAAATTAATAATTAATATTTCCCTGGAATAACCTTCTCGCCGGCGTTTCAGGTTTTCCTGTTTGATCGCCTTTTGTTTAGGAATTTAACGAGATGAAAAAATCCAGTTGAGTATAGGATGTTATTTTTTGATATACGGATGAGGGATAAGCGAGAGGAGGGGAGGGAACGGGTGGTTTCATGGTTTCCCCAGGGAAGAGATTTTCTGCAGACAGGGTGCGATCTCTCGGGCCTGCCCGGACGGGAACACGTGTACCTCGACCTGTCTCTTGAATATTTATAAGACTTGTTTATAAGCGACGAGGAGCCGCGCATTCTGGAAAAGAGCGTCTTCTGATTTATGCGGCCGACGAGCGGCCGCGGGTTCCTTTCCTCCGCGAGTCTCGGGGGAGAGAGAGAGAGAGAGAGAGAGAGGTCTTCTCCTCTCCTCTCTCCTCTTGTGCACGCACCTGAATATCGATCGGTATCGCGATCGATGACGCTAATGCGCCTCTGCGTTTCGCCGCGTCCTCGACCCGATACCTAGAACGCGATCCATTTGTCTCTCCACCCCGGCATTCCTGCGAATCTTATTTCCAGGACCTCTCGAGTCCTCGAAAGGGTCGTTGCCTCCAACACGGGGAACAATTGAATGCACCCTCGACCCCAGAAAAATTGGGAGATGCGAAAAATCTACAAGAAAAAAAAATTGCATCGTTTCAAGAGCACTTTTCTACCTTTAGAAAAATATAAAAAATGGCGTACGGGTGTCGGTACGCTGGCAAGAAATTGTATTAATTTCACGAATTTTTATGGCCTGTAATTTCAATTATTAGCTCGAGGTGATAATTTGAATTTCATAATCGCGAATGAGAGAGAAAAAAAAATTGCATCGTTTCAAGGGCGCTCTTCTATCTTCAGGAAAATATGAAAAATATGAATAAATTTCACGGATTTTGACGACCTGTCATTTCAATTAGCTCGAGGTGATAATTTGATATTCGCGCCCGGAGGATCTTACAATTATAGAAATGCCGGATTTGGGGGGCGAATTCGTCGGTGGAAACGCAAGGTATAGCGAACTACCGTTTAACGAGCCGGTAACAAGCGTACGGCTAATTACAAGTTCTCGATACTCGGTCAGGGATAACATTGTGCGTTAACGACTCAATAGCTTCTGGCCCGAGACGCTTGCTCCTTCCCCGTCTACCTAGTCGGCCCTCTCTCTCTCTATCTCTCTTTCTCGGGTTACGATACCAAACCAGTTTCCTCTGGAGGTTCTTTCGGCGATCTGGGAAGAGGATCTCCAGAACGCGTCGCCCTTTGACGGAGAACTTGACTGCGAAATCTGTCCCGAGGGATCCGCGACCCCCGACAGGTGACAAAGCATTGATAAGAGGAGCCAAAGATAAAAAGTGCTCCTCCAATTCTTCATCCCACCCCTTCGGAGTACCTAAGACCCTCGACTTATCTTTTTTTAAACATTTCCTTAATACACTCTTTATCGGAAATACATGAGACTTCGTAAATGGAGAAAATGGGAAATTGATAACAATGCCAACGAGGGTAGCAATAATCGCGATAATTTATTACTAATATTATAATCGCGATAATTTATTACTAATATTATATTAGTAATAATTAGGATAATCGCGTTACGGGGTCGTAATGGTCTTCTCGGCCGATTAGGGGAGGGCGAGATCGGTCGTGTCGTGAATGGATTTTTGCGCTTTCCGGTGTTAATAGAAAATTAGGCTCGGATTACTGGAGCCCGATATATACCATGCTCGGTCCCGGTACTGCGCCTAAACACGAAAACACCGAATAGGGTATGCGAGTGCACTCCATAGGTGTATGGGATGTGCCGAGATACGCCCCCTACGGTCTTGGCAGAGGTTCTCAAATTTATCGATAAACGGCCCGACCGCCATTTACGATAACCTATATCCCTTATCACCCGAAATAAGTAATCTCGAGTACGCCCTTAATTTTTTTTACGTATAGAAAATCCGTAGATGCACCTTGCAACCCACGTTTCGTTTCCCGCTTTCTCAAAATTACGTTCTTGGAGACAAATGGATATTTTTTTGTATTGATTTAGTGCTCGTTAGAAATAAATCGCGTGACTTGGATTCCCCGTTCGAAGCCCCTCGAGAGGCGCCTCCGTTATTTCTAGTGTTTTCCATATCGTTATTAACGGGGGTGGGTTTTTATAAGGACGTAGGAATTTTGATAAGTCGTGGGAACGGTGTCGATGTCACTTTTTCGGTTCCGGGACGAAAGCGCGACGTGACGGATTTAGTGATCGAGAAGGGGAGTGCCTCTCGGAAAGCGGCGAAGATTAAGTACCACTGTGCTTGAAATTTACGAAGCGAGCCCTTGATGCACAGCCTGATTTTTGGCAAGGTGGGACCTCCCTCTTCGTCATCGGTACGAGTTTTAATGCGTTTTACGGCCCGAGCTGAAAACCCATTAAAGCCGCGCCGGTTGGTGGGAGGACAAATGGGGGGCCCTTAAAATTATTTACTTTCTTGCCGAAAGTCGCTCCCCCACTCTGCTCGGCCTCTTAAATAATCGCCGATTACTTATACCACTTATAAACAACGAGTCGGAAATAAGGGAAACAATTAACGTAATATCTAACCGCGAGATGCATTCGCCGGTTTTCCCTTCTCGGCGGCCATCTTGGAGAACGCTTCCCGCCGAAGAATTCAAAATGGAGAGTATAAAATAATTACAAGTCGTATCTGCAGGGGAGGCATTCATGTCCGCCATTGTACATACATAGATAATTGATTAATTCGAGGCGAGAATAAATTCCAGGGAAGTCACATTCACTCTGTAATGTCACATTTTAAGCATCCGAGTCAAGTTAAAGAATGTTACAATGTAAATATACGATGTTTCGTGTATTTATACATATTCCAATTTGTAATATTTTCCATTTAAAAGGGGCGACGCGTTGCGTTTTCCGGAAAACCGGGCCCTACGTGATACCAAGATGCGCGCGACTTCGCCTGGGAACCGACCGGCGGAAAAGCCTCGCCTCGTTCGTCGGTTTGATTCGATTTTCTCGTGAACGCGGCCGTGTGTCACGCGAGGCTCGGCCTCGAGGCCCCGACGCGGGGCGGATCCGCAACGGTGGCGGCAAGGAAGAAGATCATTACCCGCGGTGGCTGTCGCGCGAGTCCCTCGCCAGGAGACACGCAAGCAACGTTTCCACGAGAACGTCGTCGCCCAACGACGAAAGCTCCGCCGTCTGGCGCCGTCGGAGCGACACTGGGGGTTTCGGACACTCCGTCGACGTCGGCAACGCCGGCGACCCCGGTATAACGGCGGCAACACCGCGGACCGGGGCGATGCGGGCGGCCGCGGCGACCGCTAAGTCAGTAGTTCGCGATCGGCCAAGGGTGGGATCTAACGCAATGTCGGTCGCGATAATTCCTTAACTCTACGCATTTTCACTATATCGTAATATCTGAACACCTTGTAAGAGCCTCTCGATATTAGGCTCTTAGGATAGCGGAGGCTCATCGGACGTGAATTAGTATTTCCCGCGGCACGGTGTGTGTTTGTGTATATCGAGATTTTATATAACGTGAATAACGTATGTTTCTCTTTTGTTACAGGTGAGCTGGACGAGTCGGTTCGCATTGGCGTAGGTTGTAGGTACTCTTTTGGAGGGATCTTTATGAGGGAATAATTGAATCGTTTGTATTTTGGGTAAGTGGCAATCGAATAATCGGATTTTAATTAGTATTCCTCCGCAATTGGAGGCTACGTTATGACGCTGACGCCATTATCGCGGACGTAATCCCCGCTCCGGTGCACTACGCTAGTCGTAACGAACACATGAACCTATACACTGGATGGCGATGCCATGACTCACGTAGTCTTCGTTCACTTTCCATGCGCAACGATCAAATGTAACTAATTTAATAGATAGAATATTGTTTCATCAATCATGTGGCGTGGAAGAGGTATTGTTTATAAAACTTTTCTCCCAACCCGGTTTACCGAATTGTTAGACACTTTACAACGTGAATAGGGAGACTATAAGGAAAGTCCTGAAACTCATGAAATGTCAATTATTTTCACATTTGTTTATAAGTATTTTAAAAAATAGTTGATAAAAAATGAAATTTCACGAGTTTCAGGACCTACCTTAGGGTCTCCATATTCACGCATTAAATTATGAAACGATTTAAGACACCCAGTCCTATGAAAAGTGTGATGAACGATTGAGCTTTCGGACGCCGCTTTCACGTCCCCTTAACGGGACGGAGTACGAGGAAGATTCAGGCCCTCCAGGAGACAATGCCTCCGGATTTCGCATCCTCGGCCGAGGTAACGGGGAAGTTCCTTGACGCGCCTCCATGAAGATCTCACGGAGGAGATCGCGCGTCCCGGGGCTGAAATTAAAACGGAGAATCCTGTCCCGATAGGCGAGTACGTGTCCTGGGACAGCCGAGATATATCGCCTGAATCTCGATCGAGATATGCCGAGGAAGTCGCCGCCGTTTACGCGTTAGCGACTCGACGGGGGAATCGGCGCCGATTGCCCGTAGTTTAATGGTTAAGACAAATCGCGTAATTAGCTAATACCTCCCCGAAAACCCGATTTGCGGCGGCGAGCCTATTTGCATCCCTATATAATTGCAGCCCTCTCTCTCGCTCACTTTGGCCCCCCTCCAAAGTGTTTACGCGTCCCGAGAATTATGCTAACGCAGAAAAATCGTCCACTCTCAATGGCCTTGTTAAAGTTGACTTTACTCATTCAAGAGGTTCAGAAAACGACATTCGTTGTCCAATTTGACACGGCATTTATTTATGTTTATGAACCTTTCCGAATTATGCACTGAAAATGGCGTTACATAAGGCGCTCTTTGATGCGACACAGTGATCGTAAATTGTCGATTAATTTTCGCGACAACTCTGACAGAAGTAATAAAACGAAATGTCGGGATTACGTGCGAGTTTCTCGTAATTGCGGGCCGAGTGCGGGACAGCTCGATAAAATTCATCCATCCGTAATGAATAATAAAAGCGTATCTCGGCATGTCGCCGGAAATATCGCATATTGATCTGAAATATACACGCGTTTATTGGTAATATTTCTTAAACTTGTCCTAGGCCATATTTAACCGAGGTAATTGCTGGATAATACGACCACGTGTCGGGTCTTTACTCGGAGTAATCGACTGCTTTATCGATTATTGCAATAGAGATAGAGAAATCATTCCGATAAGTCGATCACACGAATCCCCGGGTTTATTCAAGGGGTTTTATAATTACGGCTCAATGATCGGGACACCTTTCGCTGCCAGTCATAAACGGCCGAAAAAAACGTATTATTAATTATGTCACAGTAAATAATTTTTCCCGCGCGCTTTACATAACGAGCCTCGTAAAGGTGGTAATAATCATATGTCTCCAGGGTCATAACACGGCAGTACTCTCGTTGAGATCGATGTGTATCGATTTGATAGGCCCGGTTGTTAAAAGACCGCCGCAATAAATATCGGATGCCGCATTCGGTCCATGTAATTCATGTAATTCGAAGGCGAATGTACGTCATCCGGGGAAAAGAAACATGGAGACACCTTTTGCCGACGAATTTTTGGCCCACGTAGGGTGTTCGATTTCTCCCTCGCATAATTTTTCGTCGATTTAACGCGCCTTTAAATTTTTTTTAACCCTTTGTCTCATAAGAGCGCCTAAAGGCGCCCGACGCTTGGTCCAATATTGCCTGCACGGTCACGGGAATTTCGCCCGTATGTCGAACGGCTCCGTGTTCGAAGGGTTAAAAGGAATGGCATCGATTCTGCCGGTAGTCGAAATGCGATTGTAATTAGAACAGCCGGACAAAACGGAGGCACCTTTCGCCTTTACCAGGAGCGATTAAGAGACGACGACAAAGGGAAATGGATCGCCAGTGGCACTCGGCTTGTCCGCCGTCGCGGCTCATTATCGCGAATCGTTCCACGCGTACGAGGGCTAGCTGCGCGCGCAGGTGCACCTAAGTGCACTCATCCCTCTGTATGTGTACCGTAAATGAGTTTCATCCATCCGCGGGTAAAATAAATAAATGGTGCACTCCCGATGCGGTACGCCCGGTTGTCTTCCTCCGTCGGCGCATACCGGGTGTTCACATCCGTGAAAACAGGCTTCGTAAATATCCAGGTTTTATGCACCGATACCGGGCATTCTCTTTGTCTACCCCTTCCCATGGTGCGATTCTCTCCTATGCGTAGCCGGGATTAAAATTCGATCACTTGGTCTATTCGATATTACCAATGACGCTCGGTTTCTTTACGTTGGACATTAATTTAAACAGCGACATCGAATGGTTCTTGATTCGTAAATGTTGCGGTGATTTTTATGGAGGTCTATTCTTATTTTATCTTTTTTTTTTTTAGTATTAATTTCTATCGGAGAGAGGTTAATTTATTGGTACAGATATTCCAGTATCTTTTATTTCGGCTTTGAGCCGCTCGACGTGATCTTGAAATGTGGGGACATTTGGCGGGAGATTTGAATGACTTGACTCCATTCACCGATCGAGATGATGGGTGGTCGTGACTCGCGTCGAGCGATTGTCATTCTCCTCGAGAATCGGATTAATTAATTAGAAATGGTACATGTACACGTGCAGTCGAGATTGGCCAGCTCCTGTCCCTAATCACAGTCACTCGACGGGATATCAGTCTGTCAAGATCTCGATTTTTTTCCTCCAAGGAGAACGGCCAGAGATCTCGCGATATTAATTTTCGCGCATCAACGACATCGTGGGATCGATTCCACGGATGAGAATTAATCGATTAATATTTTCAATTAAATCGGATAGAAAAGGATATGAAAAAAAAAAAAAAAACTCTTTCCCCTAGTTTTTCCACGAGTATATCAGCGGTTCTTGATTTTCATGATGTCAGTTTCATTCCCTCCGGGTATTTTCGACCGTAAATATATTTTTTAGCGAGGAAGGACGACGAGGAGGGGATCGTGAACGCGGGATTTCGCGGATCGGGGATGTTATCTTATTGCGATCGGCATAAGAGCGATCTCAACGTGGCCGTTAACGGTATACCGAGGAGTTTCCTTCTCCTGGTTTTCTTGGATTAGCCGATTAAAACGGTTCCACGGCGAGAAGGGGCCTCGTATGTAGATCGAGGCTGATGATTCGCCGATCCGAGGGTAGACCGGTAGCCGGTCGAAGGAAGAGTGAGCTGCGGGTAAAAAGAGGAGAGCTCGCAAGAAGTCGAAAATAAAAGAGAGAGAAGGGGGGAAGATCGTAATCGAGGGCCGATGCAAGAAAGACCGCGAGGAGGAAAAGAAAGGACGGGAGAGCGGCGAGGCAAGGAGAGAAGGGAACCCCGAGGGAAACGCGGTTGCACTGGGAGGAAAAAGTAACCGAGGAGAAATGGAAAACTTCCTGCCGAGGAAGAGATACCGCGGTGGGAAAAGGCGAGGAAGAAGGAATCCCTCTGCGGAGTCCTACGAGCGCCGGATTAAAGCGAGTCGCTTGGAGGCACGTTTCGGCGTGACCGGAGCGTTTTATAGAAAAATGGCCCGAATGAATGTTGTTCTTTAGGGTTCGTTCTATAAATCTCGTAGAGGTCGTCGTTTCGCTAGGGGCCGCCGGTTCTCGGGAAATGCCGGTTCTCTTCTCGGGCGGGCGGTAATGGGGAGGAATTCGCGAAAGTCGCGGAAAGCCGTCGAAGGCGTTGGCCGCTCTCGGAAGAAGCGGCCGAAGAAGGCGCAGAAGAAGGGCGGGAAAAGCGGGGAAAAAAGAAATGCGGGGAAAAAGGAGAGGAACGTCGGCCCTGCCGGATAGTTCGGTTTTACGGCCGGGGCATCTCTTTTGCTGCGTCCCTCCCTCTCTCTCTCGCTCCCGTTCCTCGGCCTCGCGTTTTACGCCCAGGGAGCGTTGCTCGCGCTCGTTTTCAGTCGTTGCATGGAAATCCGCGGTTTTACTGCCGAGCCGCCTCTAAGTTATGGGGAAACTTTATGGTCGCTCTATGGACTCCGCACTCGCCCTCGGGCTCCGCCTACCCACGGCCTCTGGACTCCTCGGGAACCCCGGGGAACCCTGAAGGAACCCGGCCTCTTTCTTCGAGGTGCGCCGTCTTGGATTCTCTTCTCCGCGTTCCTCGAGCAATTTCTTAAAAAAAAAAATCCTCGATTTCTCACCTGAAAATCTCTCTCTCACCCGTGGACGTCTCCTCGGAAGGAACTTTATCTCCGAATTTAGGTGATATGAAACCGTCAAGGATCACATATTCTTGTTTGAAAAGTGAAATTTCACGAGCGTCTGGTTTTTCCTTAGGGCCTTCATAATCGCGTGTTAAAGTTTTATTAATATTTTGACGCTTTATATGTATATAGAATGAGCCTTTCATATCACCTTATTCTCTTTGAACACGGAGGCATTCGACATATGGGCGAAATTCCTCTGACCGTGCAGGCGATATTGGACCTAACGTCGGGCGCCTTTAGGCGCTCTTAGTAGCCAAGGGGTTAAGGGAGTACCGAAAAGTCCTATCCGAGGAGATTAGAATTCCCGATGTTCCTGTCATTCTATATGTCGCCGTTATCTCCAGATATTCCGATGGTTATGAATCTATTCCTCCAACCGCCATTACGGATTTCACAGCTCGATCAGCCTTCCTTCGGATCCCGTGACGGGTTTCGACCTATCGGAGCTCGCCTCCTTTATTGGTCCGAGCCTTTTTTCTCGCCTCGTCTAGGGCCCCGCCGATTGGCCGCCGGCTCGAAAGTCGAAACCACCTTGTCACGCCGTGAAATTAGGCCTTTTACGCGTCCACCGGGGTGAGCGGCGTAACCAAATAGCCTCCGCTTCTTGCGGAGTCTAGAGTTACCAAGATGGCGCTATCGATTCCTTATAGCTTCCATGTTCGCGTTCTAAAATTTGAGACGATTCGGTATCGACACCTTGATCCATT